CAGCAGTCAGCTGGTAGAACCTCAGGTTGGAACCAAATGGTGAAGCAGCTTTTAGCTACTGTTCTGCAAACAGATGGAACCACAGATGACCTCAAATGTGCCCCAACTCCAGTTATTTGATTTTAAACTGAAAACAGGTGCCTTAGTTTCCATCCTGTTCCAGATCTGTGACATTTATGTTTTATGTCATTTTGACAAAGTTAAATCTTCATTTTGTCTTAAGTGATAATGGTTATTGTATTTGAATGTTGTTACTGTTTTTCTTTGCCTGTACATTCATACACGTAGTGTATGAAGTGCACTATAGAAATAAAGCTGCATGGTCTTGCAAAAATGAAAAACAGGGGGAATGACGTCAAGAGCAAAAGAAATAAGCTCAATATACAAGCAATGTTGAAAAATTGACTTTAGGAATTGAAATATATGTAAACAGTTAAAATAATTCAATTTGTTTAAAATTGGCTGTCTCACCCACTGAAACCATGTCTATGCATTGAGGTGAGGTGCATACATTAGTTCTGTTTTTATTGTACACACACCTGTTTATGTGTGGATAAAGGCCTGTGTGGTTTGTGTGCGTACTAATCGTTTATACATCTAAATATATTCAGTTCTATTATTGTCAGTTTCATAAGATAAAACAAAGAAATAGACCAGTGAGTCTAGATCCATAAAACATGTAGATTCATGAAAAAAACCTTACGCGCACAGACAGAAGTGAGCATGTGCATAATAACAACAACAATAATAACATTTTTCTATATAGCACCTTTAAAACACCAAAGCTACACCAAAGTCCTTCGCAAGCAAATGACAATAGGAAAATTTAAAAACAAATATAACATATCACAGACACCAGTAAAAGTGAGACAATAGTAATAAAACCTCATATTAAAGCTAGAGGCCGAATGCCAACATGAATACGCTCTGAGCAAAGATTTAAAATATTGTAGTTTTATCAGTTTAAGCCATCAGTGAAATTGGGCTCCTGTGCTTTTCCACTTTAGCCATAAACGCCGTTGGAACCCAAAGTATTAGACATGGCAGTGAAAGTAATGCTATAGAACAAGAATGTGAAAGCTCATTGCAAAGTTTTCTTTTTTTGGTGAACAAAACGATCTCAAAACTGTTTTTTTATCCGACAACCGCACTGAGCTCCAGTAATAACAGAACCATCTTTACGCACGACAATTACGCACAGCTACAGCTATCTATAGATTATTGTAATTTAATCAGTCATGTGCTAAAACTTATCAGTAGGCTAGTCAAGGTCTCAGTCGTTATTAAACTAAAACCAATTAATGACCCTCATCCGTAGTATACACAACAACATAAGAATGGCTGAAAGGAAACAAAAAACTTCAAAAGCACAAAAAGCCAAGTATGCAATATTTAAAAATACAATTTAGGAACTGAAACATATGCAATCAGCTAAAATAATAATTAAAATTGTTTAAATTGGCTGTTTTGTTTGTTAAGTTCCATATCTCGCCCACCAAAACCGTGCGCATGGTTGCATTAGTCATGCACATCCTGTGTTTACTGTACACACACCTGTTCATATGTAGGTAAAGGTCTATGCGTGGTTTTGTGCGTACGAATCGTTTATACATCTGGCCCCTTAATTAATCATGATGTGTGTTTTGGTTGGTCATATGCATAAAAAGAGAGATCCAGAAAAACGGTGCTGGTGATTTTTTCATTCATGTGTTTATTAATCTTTATGCAAACTAAGCTCATGTCGCAGTTTCTGTCGTCTTCATCTTCAGTTTACCGGTATTTCTCAGACAGAGCAAGAGCCACCGCCGCCAGGAACTTGTCCAGAGCCACATGGACCTCAGGGGTGAAGTCTTTGGGGAACATGATGGCCAAGACCACAAGAATGTTGTGGGAGAGAACCTGTGAAAAGGGTTAATCACACACGTTACACATATTAATTGCGGCAATGACAATGACAAACAGAGACTAAAGTCAAGAAATTCACACAAATGTCAGGCTTTTGCTCTGCACCTTGAAGTTGGCAGGGTCCACTCTGAGGGTGAAGGCATGCAGCTCGCTGAGGGACAGGAGACCTGCAGTCAGGTCGTCGATTTTGGCCACAGCGGTAGCGATTCCCGTCATGATGGTTTTCCCGTGCTTCTTCACCTGGGCAGAGCCGGGGCTCAGGTCCTTCCAGTGGGAGAAGTAAGTCTTGGTCTGCGGGTACACCACCAGCATCCTGCGTAAGACGCGCACAACAAAGTGCCAGTAAATGAATCACTGTCGGAGCACGTTACAGCAGTAGGCAGCATGTTCTCATATTTACCTGGCCAGAGCATCCGCGCCGATGTCCCCCTCCTTGCCAGACACTTTAGCCCAGAAGGCCCTGACTGTGTCCTTGTCCTTGGCACTGAGACTGGTCATCTTGCCTTTGTTTGACTACTGGTTGAATACCATCATCCGCGTGAACGAGGGGGTTTTATGCTTGAAACAGAGCGCGGCCACACCCGAGACCACCTCCAAGATAGGCTCCATAAGGCGGTGCCATGATGGGTGGCAGCTTGCATGAGATAAAGATCTCCGGTGACTCTGGACTACACCTCTAATTATCACTGTCAGCAGTTCTAAAGACTGCAGACAAAATATGGAAGTAAATTTCAGATGTATTCATCAAAACGGAACCGTTCGTTTCTAACCAAACCTCTAAGTGACCGCAGGTACTCTGCTCGTTTGGACTTGCCATAAAAATCTGCCCAACGTGACTCCGGACTAAACCTTCAGTTACATAGTTTTTAGGCCTAAAGACCACGGGTAAAATATACAAGTACTAGCATATTTAAAATACATTTTTAGATGTAGTCTGCCATCAAACGCGTTTTGACTTTTTAAACATTTGTTCTGAAAAGGCACAAAACAAACTGTTAATCACTAAGTGAAAATGAAGGAACGCGTTCATGTTAATCTGATTTATTCTTGTCAGGTATGACAGTTCAAAGACGAAGTAGGGCAATTATAAACAGATTTAAAATCTATATTCTGAAAACAAGTAATTGATTTATTTATCATTTGGAAACGGTCCAATGAGATAGGTAACGTCATTTTCAGCTTCTTGCCAACCCGTGGTGTGTTGCTGAGTCTTATCTTACCCACTGCACTGTAGCTGTAAGGGTGGGTTCACTAAACAGTAGGAACAGATACGATCTTCCCTACAGCGTGTTCAGCTGATGTCTAGTGTAACTGTTGTTTACATAACTGGAAACACTTATTCACATGGAAGAGACACGTGAATATAGTCTTAATTTAATGCACTCTACATAAAGAAATGAACTGCCCAGACCTAAAAACTAAACATCATGTGTCACTTTGTTTCTGTCCTGACAGTTTGGCATTACATGACCAATTTATCATCATATTAGTCCACTTCAAATGCTACTAGGTAGAGATACAACCTAATGTAATAAAATGATTGAAATCATTAACTAAGCTTAGAGACACACACACCAGTCCAGGCAGATAACGGACGTTGTGTGCAGATTAATGAGAAGGTTTGTCTGTGTAATTCAAGGCTGCACTGAGTCTTTGCCTTAGTAGAATTAGACATAGACAGTTTGTTTCTGGTTGGTAGGTGTAACACCGTTATGGCGCAGATTGCAGACACCATTGGTTGCTTGCTTTTTGCAGACTCTTCCCAAAGACAAATCAGTTGGTGTTGTGACTGAGTTTTTTCTCCTCCCAGTTACTGCATTTTCTTTTAAAGAAATTGATCTGGCTTTGCACTGCCTGGTTGTTGTCAGTATAAATAGGTCAGATTAACACAAAATTAGAGCCTGAATGAAAACAAACACACACGCAAATCAAACACACCCACCTACACAAAAACCCTGTCAAGCCACAACTTCTTCCTTCTTTTCCACTTTGTCATCATACCCACCTCTGGCCAGCTGCAGTGAATATAAATTGCGCCCATCGCATTTAACAGGTTACTACAGCTACGAGCTGCGGTGTATTTAGTAGATCTAGAGCCGGAAACTGAGTGAAGAAGTTGCTCACCTGTTTGTGTTGGCGCGCCCTCTAGTGGGACTTCTGCAACCTGCACAGCAAATGATATACAGCTACCTCAAGTCACCCATCCATCATCTACACCGCTTATCCTGAAGAGGGTCGCAGGAGGCTGGAGCAAATCC